GGTGCAACACTGAGCAGGTGCGCGGGAACAGGTGTGCTTATGGTTTAGCAGGCCTTGCTTGCGATTTGGCAGCTGGTGCGCGTGAGTGCGTGCCGTGTGTGAGCTTAGGGTTTTCTTTTCCCTTGTGTTTAGGGCATCTTGTGAATCTACCTACGCGGTGGCCGTTTTGGCTCAAGCCTTGGCCCAAACTTGCTGTTTCATTTGAAACTGGAAACGCCGCCATGGACGCCTTGCTGTGTTTTGGAGTGTGCCTCGCCATTTACACAGCCCTTGTGTCCGGCATCACCTGCCTTGCAGTTTGGTGCTTGCTGCACCAGCGCCGCAAAGCTTTGCTGTGGCAGTCGGGCTTTCAGCCACTGCCACGCCCTGACCCTATTCACGTTCTGCCCAAACGCAAGGTTTTTCAACATCGGCGCTGCCGCCGCCTGGCACAGCGTGACGCCACTGCCTTTGCCTTTCAGCCCTGTGTGAATTGTGTCAGCCTTTGGTGATGCACTCGGGCATGCATGCCGCTTGCTAATGTAAAAAACTGTGACAGAGCCCATGTGCACCTTGCATTAGTGCGAACAAATGCATTTCACCATCCGCGTCTTTTCAAGCCTATTGCATTGTGCGCCTTGCCCTCAGCTACGGCCTTAGTCATTGATTCTTGAGTCCGCTCTTGAATCGCATCCCTCCGGGGTTGCTGCCTTGATACCAAGTGTCTTGGCAAATTAAGGCTCCTTCGGGACCTTCACAATGCCTGAATCACAGGTCTTGTGAAGGTCCCGGAGGAGCCTTAATTGCCAAGGCGCGCGGTGTCATGGCTGCAAGCCCGGACAGATGCGATTCAAGAGCGGACTCAAGAATGCATGACTGAGTCATGACAGATGTGCCTGAATTCCAGGGCTTGTGAAGGTCCCGGAGGAGCCTTAATTGCCAAGGCACGCAGTGCCAAGGCAGCAACCCGGAGGGATGCGATTCAAGAGCGGACTCAAGAATGCATGCCTGAGGTCATGACTGGTGTGCCTGAATCACAGGGCTTGTGCCTAACACGCGGTGTCGGTACAGGCAACAACCCAGAGAGGAAGTGCGGTTCTGTCTAGGCCTGGGCAATCAGTCATGACCTCCATCATGCGTTCTTGAGTCCGCTCTTGAATAGCTTTCCTCCGGGGTTGCTGCCATGACACCGAGTGCCTTGGCAATTAAGGCCCCTCCGGGGCCTTCACAAGCCCTGCGATCCAGGCACATAACTGCTACCAACTTAACTTAGGCGCATAGTGACACACTTTGCATTCACACTTGGCACTTGGTTGGAGTTTTAGCCTTGCATCACTGCCACAGTGCTCATTCACACTCCCACCCAACGCCTTGCCTTCAGTGCCATGGAGTGTGAGGGCACCTTAGACGCCATCCACACCACAATAGCCACCGCATTGCCACGTCACTGCCGTATGCCTTGTTGCATTGACCCTGATCGAAGGCATCCGTGCATTGTCGTGCCTGTGGAGATTGTGCAGCCTTTTTTGATGACACCCCAGAGGTGTCAGTAGAGCACCGCTCGCTATCAGCGGGGTGGCTCACCCGCATCCAGACCGTTTTTCGCAATGCCCTGGCCCTGTGCCAAGCAGCGCACTTGTCGAATCTCAAGGCCTTCGACAAAAAGATAGCCGACCTGTGTCTCACACAGCCAGATTGGCCTTCGCACAGTGAACGCACAAGAGCTCTTGTCGGCGGATCGCAAGCTCTGGGCAGCCATATCCGACCTCCTCGGGCAGCAATGGTCCCTGGATGATGCCTTGTACGAGCTGACGCATATGAGAAACGATGTGCGCAGAGGCGACCCAAGCGCGACCTTAAGCCAGCCCGCAACCGCCGCCTAAGCCCAAAGCAGAGTGGTGCACTACACACAAAGGGTGCGAAGTCTGCAGGCGCTACCAGACAGGCCTTTGCACTAACGACCAGTGCCGTTTCGCCCACGTGTGCGCCATCATGGGCTGCCAGCAAAAGCGCCCTGCCATGGACCGCAACAAGCACACGTGAAACAGCCCTGATCTTGGGCCGGCGCAGGATCGGGCAGCCACAACGGGCCCTATACGCAGCCTTCACAGTTGCCCATGCCGGTAAAGGCTACCCCGACGGTCCAGCCTTGCCCTGCGCGCGCCACAATGAGCCTGGCGCAACGCCAAGGCCACGCACGCCCGCCAACCCAAGCTCATCGGAACCACCGTTGCATTCAGCCTCAAAAAAGTTTTTTTTGGACGTGTTTGCGGGTAGGCTGCACCGAGTGACATTGGCAGCTATTAGCCTTGGCCTTGACTGCTTTGAGCCTTTTGATCTGGATGGAAACACCGCGCATGACATACTGGACAACAAAGTCTTTGAAGCTCTTCTCACACTCTGTTGGTCAGGAATCGTGGTGTTGATAATGCTTGCCCCGCCTTGCAAGGAATATTCCAGACGCCCAGGCGGGCCCAACGGCCTTTTGCCGGCGCAACGCTTGCGGCAGAGCCTTGTTCAGAGCAGTAGTCCCCAAAGGAGGCGTAGGCATCTGGGAACAACCGCCATTTGTCATGTCTTGGCTGGAAGAGGCCAATTTCCAAATGCTGCGCGACCACCAATGCGCCCTGGTGTGGGTAGACGCCTGCAGGCACAACAAAGCCTTCTCCAAATCATGGGCTTTCGGCTGCAACAGCTTAAAAATCCTGGCCCTGGAAATCACTCATACAAGCATCAAAGCATTGCAGCTTAAAACAGCAAGGGGTATACCTCCACTCTGACCGCGGAATACCCACCTTCCCTGGCCTTGCAACTTGCCCAGGTGGGCATAGGAAGGGTCAGCCAAACGGGCACTGCCACTGCACTCCGAAATATGCAGAACCGTCACATTAGCGCCTTGCAACCTCCCGACCTGCGACGGAGCAGGAATGCACTCGTCCGCAGACTGGTGCCATCCAAAGCCAGAACACCCACTGCAAGCAGTGGCCAGGCCCTGGCTGCATTGGATGCATGAGCGCAAATTGGTGCCGCAAATCGTCACCGTCCGAAAGCCTGGAAGTGGCAAATATGGCTTACACGGCTCTGCGATTCAGACTCCATCTGCTGCAGGCTTTGGCCAACTCTTGGGGTGACCCAGACATGGCCCTGCTGCCATTTTTGCAACACGTACCGACGGGAGCCACCCAGCCTGCAATGGCCGGCCAAAAAGCCGGACACCGCCATGCCGCCAGATCTGGAGATCTGTGAAGGCAATTGGAAGGTGGCCGAGGACGAACCAGAGACAGTGCAAAGCCTGCTGCGCAATGAAATTGCCAACAGCTGGATTGTTGAAACCGGCCTTAGCCTTGCCGAGGCTCGTGAAAAATTGCCTTTAGGTATAGCCGTAGGCAAATTAAATGTAGTTTTTGCAGAAGGGAAAGAGCCCCGCCTTGTCCTGGACAGCACCGTGTGCCAAGTGAACACAAGATGCCATTTGCCAGAGCGCCTCCTCTGCGTAGACGACCTTCTGTGCACACTCGTCCGAGATAGCGCTCCAGAAATGTTCGCCTTAGTGGTGCTGTTCTTCTGCGCGATTGCTGCTCCAATTTCGTGGAAAAAGCCGCAGTTCCAGGACAGCCTTATTTGGTGTGGCTGGGAGATCAACTTCTCCCACGACACCATTCAGCTCGTGTCTGCCAAACTGACGAAGCTGGACGCCTTGATCAAAGTACTGCTGGGAAGCAAACGGGTACTCCGTAAAACACTCGAGCAGTGCAAAGGCCTGCTCATGTGGGCCACCAGCATTGCATTGCATCTCAGATCTTGGCTAGCGCCGCTATACTCTGATCTCAACAGCCCACCAGGCTCAATGCACTCAATACCACCTCAAATGTGGTCAGCCTTCAACAAGTTATAGCCTTCCCAGCTCCAAAATTTTGGAAATTTCGGGCCGTGCCCTCAGGACATCCAGCGTGTGCCAAGCAAACCCATGCGGGTACGTATTGCGGATCCGAATAACCCCTATACTGGCCTTTCCAAGTCCAGCCAGCAATGCCTTGCATGGCTGGCCTCGTGCTTCCAGCACTCGCCAGTTCAGCCCTTGGCGCAGCCAGGTATAGGGGGCTGGGCAATCACTTCGTCACAAATGGTTTGGTTTGCCGAAACCTGGAACACGCAGGACATACGGGCAGTATGGCCTTGCCTTGTCAAGCCTGGACAGCGGTGCATCGCATGCTTCGAGACGCTGGCGCAGTTGGCACTGTTGCAAGCTACCCACAGCCATATTGGTGGTGGGCACTACTCGTTCAGCATGCCTGCAAGCCTTAACAAATTGTTCACGACCTCCTGGCCGTTGCAACTCTTCGTGCAGTTAACAGCCTTCTGGGCTCACGCGCGCAACGTGCTGCTGCAGCCAACACACGTTCCGGGAAGGAGCAATGATTGGGCAGACGACCTCAGCAGAGGTCGGTTGGCCCGATTCAGCCATCGCCCTGAGAGTCGCGTACGCTTCAGCCCTGCAGGCCTTGCACTATCAGGCAGAGGCATTCAGCTGTGTCCGATAGATGCGCCCTGGCGCCCGGAACATCTGGCAGCTGTGGTTTGAGCAGCGCGTAGCCGAGCCTTACTGCATCCCAACATGCATTGCGACCCAATAGCCAACCTCGCCCTGGCAACCAGAATGCCTGGCTGCGTCGGCCAGCAGCTTGACATCAAGCCGCTTTGACCAAAAAAGAGCGGTCCCTGAGCAACAGGATTCTCACAACCAAGTGCGTGCAATGTCACAGGTGTCCGAAATGCCGCGCAGGCCACACGAAGCGCAGTCGGGGAACACTTGTGAAACGTGCGTTTACGTCCCTGGTTTGCACAGTGTTCACAGAGAGAGGGAGGGAGAGAGAGAGAGAGAGAGAGAGAGAGAGAGAGAGAGAGAGAGAGAGAGAGAGAGAGAGAGAGAGAGAGAGAGAGAGAGAGACACAGAGGGAGAGAGAGAGAGAGTGAGACGCATTGCTGGCATGTTGCTACCAGTCACGTGCAAAAATATATCAGGCTTCTGTGTTTGTCATGGGTTTCTTGCATTCATGTTTCGTTTTGCATGGGTCAACACTTCCAGCTTGGTGAATGTTCTGCAAAGGGACCCCCAAGCTTCGAAATATCCCCAGTCCCAGTCCCTGCAAGCCGCGAGTTTTGATGAGAAAACAACACCTTCGGAACTGGATGGCGGACTCTCGGTGATGATTTCCACGAACGGTTGATCGAAATGCATACCCATGCCTCTCTGTGGGCATTTGAGTTTTGGACCAAGTATAGAGTGGAATCTCAAGGCCATCCGTATTGACTTTTTTGATCCTCTATGGCAATGAGGGTTTCATTTTGGCAGCTGAACGGTGAGGCAACGGTTCTTGAAGTCATGCCAGACATCACTGGTCGGGAACTCAAGGAGCGCATCAAGGAGAGCCAGCTTTGGGATGATGAACTTACGCGCAAAACAACCCGGGTCGACATTCTCGTGGGGAGCAGATGGCTGATGACTGACGAGACAGCTGCAGATGCAGGCCTTTCGCCAGCATCAGACGTGACCGTAGTATTTAAACAAAACGCTGTTGCCTGCTCCCAGAAAAGGGAGTTTGACCAATTTGGCGATGAACTTGACTTGCATTCCATGTTTGTCATTGAAATCCCAAGCAGTGCCACTGAAATAGCTGAACACGCATTCGGGCAATGCCACAGGTTGGCACGAGTGAGCATTCCGGGCTCAGTGACCCAGATTGGGAATGGTGCCTTTGAAGAATGCAGATCTTTGGCTAGTGTGACCATTCCGGACTCAGTGACCCAGATTGGGGATTGTGCCTTTGCAGGATGCAGCTCCCTGGCTAATGTGACCATTCCGGACTCAGTGACCCAGATTGGGAATGGTGCCTTTGACGGATGCAGCTCTTTGGCTAGTGTGACCATTCCGGACTCAGTGACCCAGATTGGTTGTGCCTTTGAAGGATGCAGGTCCCTGGCTAATGTGACCATTCCGGACTCAGTGACCCAGATACGGGATTGTGCCTTTGAAAAATGCAGCTCTTTGGCTAGTGTGACCATCCCTGACTCAGTGACCCAGATTGGGGATCGTGCCTTTGAAGAATGCAGCTCCTTGGCTAGTGTGACCATTCCGGACTCAGTGACCCAGATTGGGAATCGTGCCTTTGCAGGATGCAGCTCCTTGGCTAGTGTGACCATTCCGGACTCAGTGACCCAGATTGGGAATCGTGCCTTTGCGGGATGCAGCTCTTTGGCTAGTGTGACCATTCCGGACTCAGTGACCCAGATTGGGAATCGTGCCTTTGTGGGATGCAGCTCCCTGGCTAATGTGACCATTCCGGACTCAGTGACCCAGATTGGGGATCGTGCCTTTGACGGATGCAGCTCTTTGGCTAGTGTGACCATTCCGCACTCAGTGACCCAGATTGGGGATTGTGCCTTTGAAGGATGCAGGTCCCTGGCTAATGTGACCATTCCGGACTCAGTGACCCAGATACGGGATTGTGCCTTTGAAGAATGCAGCTCTTTGGCTAGTGTGACCATTTTTGACTCAGTGACCCAGATTGGGGATCGTGCCTTTGAAGAATGCAGCTCCTTGGCTAGTGTGACCATTCCGGACTCAGTGACCCAGATTGGGAATCGTGCCTTTGCGGGATGCAGCTCCTTGGCTAGTGTGACCATTCCGGACTCAGTGACCCAGATTGGGAATCGTGCCTTTGCGGGATGCAGCTCTTTGGCTAGTGTGACCATTCCGGACTCAGTGACCCAGATTGGGAATCGTGCCTTTGCGGGATGCAGCTCCCTGGCTAATGTGACCATTCCGGACTCAGTGACCCAGATTGGGAATGGTGCCTTTGACGGATGCAGCTCTTTGGCTAGTGTGACCATTCCGGACTCAGTGACCCAGATTGGGGATTGTGCCTTTGAAGGATGCAGGTCCCTGGCTAATGTGACCATTCCGGACTCAGTGACCCAGATACGGGATTGTGCCTTTGAAGAATGCAGCTCTTTGGCTAGTGTGACCATCCCTGACTCAGTGACCCAGATTGGGGATCGTGCCTTTGAAGAATGCAGCTCCTTGGCTAGTGTGACCATTCCGGACTCAGTGACCCAGATTGGGAATCGTGCCTTTGCGGCATGCAGCTCTTTGGCTAGTGTGACCATTCCGGACTCAGTGACCCAGATTGGGAATGGTGCCTTTGAAGGATGCAGCTCTTTGGCTAGTGTGACCATCCCCGACTCAGTGACCCAGATTGGGGATCGTGCCTTTGCAGAATGCAGCTCCTTGGCTAGTGGGACCATTCCAGGCTCAGTGCTCCATATCGAGGATTGTGCCTTTGAAGGATGCAGCTCCTTGGCTAGTGTGACCATTCCGGACTCAGTGACCCAGATTTGACTTTGGTCGTGCCATCTCGGAGAAGGTTGAATATTGCCGACTGGAGGGGTTGCAAACAGATTCAAGCAACCAATATGTGAATGTGAAGAGTGCACGTACAGGTGGTTTCTGAATGGCTTGCTGTGTCCTCGACGGTGGGGATTTTGAGCTTCGCCGAGAACCTTTGAGAATCCGCCACACAGTGTATCTGAGTGATGGCTAAACACAGCATCATCTCAATTTTTATACAACCGCGCTGCTTGCGGAAGAAAAATAAGCTCCATTGGGCCGTGGTTCATTGAGCTTCCTTTGGGGTGTTCAACGGTGGCGTGTGGATGTGTCTCGCAGGGCCCTGCATGCATACATACATACGTACATGCTCTGCTGTGTTTTCTTTGTGGCTTTTTGGCGTTTATTTGGACCTATAGCATCCTTGTGGATGGAATAGCGGATTGGTTGCGGATTTTTGCACGGAGGTTGTGCTGGCGGTGCTGGCGGCACTTGCATTGCCGTTGTGGTTGTCTTGTGCGGATGGCCAGCTGGCAGTTTTTGAGAGTAGTGACAAGAGTAGCTTGGTTTGCTGGTGTGGTGTTATGTGTCTCGCCTTGGTGCTACTTTGCCCTGTAAAGCCTATTCTTTGTTTGGGAGTTCTCTGCGGCTCTTGTATAGCTCGGTAATTTGTTGTTTTAGGCTTGTTTTTTGGCCATTGGCACCCATTGCATGCGTGGCGTGTGGGAAAGCGTCACCTTAGGTCGTGACCTGTACCTGGCCTTCTTTGCTCTTCGGATAGCGTTAATTCTTGCTGCTTCTTCGAAGCTTTGGCCTCGGCTTTCTCTTTTGTTGACCGGTCACTATGCTGCAGGCGACTTGGGGAAAAAGTGCTTCTTGCGGATGTTGGACTGCTTGGAAATTGGCTTTTGACAAGAGAAGCCTGGTTTGCTGGCCCTTGTTGGGGGCCTTCAGGTGCAATGTCCAGCGTTTCACTCTGCTGCCACCTTGCCTTGGATGGCCATTTCTTTGACTGGAAGCTGACCACGGCTTTTGTACAGTCCTTTGGTAAAATGCGTTTTTGCTTGCCTGGCCCATTACATGGATGGCATGTGGGGAAGCACGACCCCTGGTCGTGACCTGGCCTACGTCTGCTGTTCGGGTTTTCCAGATGGCCGTAATTCAGGAATTCGTTTACTGCCCGCTGCTTCTCAAAACATTTTGGCTACTCTTTGGCTTTCCTTTTTGTCGACCGGTGATTATGCTGCAGGCGACGCGGGGAAAATGAAGATCGATCGTACAGTGAGGTTTGGTCGTGACTCCCTCCATCAACTATGTGGATTATTACACTGCCAGTTGTGCATGGTATATGGCGCTGTCTCTTGCCACCGCTTTGCATCGTCTGACGTTGTTGGTGGCATTTCTGCTACTGGGCGGTGATAAATCCGGGTACACGTTACAGTCAACATTGGTTCATACATTTTGGTACTTTTCACTCGACCTTCTCCCCCGTCTTCAGTGGTTTCTCGGACCCCTTCTTTTCGATGGTCAAATGTTTTCATTGCTGTGACCTCGGCTGTGTTGGAGATTCAATGCTACACTCATGCAGCTTTCCAGTTGACGGCCCTTGCGGCAGCTGAATTTTTACGATTGCAGCACGCATATGTTATTGGGCTGGCTATCTGCATCTTCAATGCCGCGATGAAACAGTCTGACTGCGCAACTGCGATTGGGGAAGCGTGGCTTGGTTTTCAACCGGTAGCAGTATTGTGCATTTTTACAGGTTCTCATCCCCCTTGTTGTGGAGATCGGCTTGGCTCCATCATGACAGGCTATGCTTTGTTGTGATTGCTTTTCAGGTTTGTTTAAGTCCGTGCGTTTCTTTTTGATTTGCGTTGCTGGCGCTTCTGTCCGACCTTTCAGCTATGGCTGTACTCGAGCATGACATGTGGGCAAACTCAACGGATGGATTGAGAAGAGTACCTGGTCTTTCATTTCCATCATCTTTTGCTTGCAGGTGCTTTGCAACGGGACATGCTTTAAGTAAGGAATTCTTTTGGGCTCGCCCGTTGCTTCCCTTGGGTTGCTTGCTCGTTTCGCTTTCCTATTTGTCAAGCGTGATCACGTAGTTGCGCCGCACAATCGCGCAGCGCGCCACGCAGAATGCTTCCATTGCCCACCGAAGCAACTCTTGAGAAGTTCTTCGGGCGTGTTCCAAAATGAGCGCCATCTTCAACTGCAGCGCTCGGTGTGCCAGTTCGTCAATACTTCAGCAATCACGTGCGTGGTAACTGGCTCTACTTGATCCTCCTCGTCCACATCTTTCTGAATTCGAGGATGCCTTGATGAGGCTTTTGCATGGTCATGTTTTCCTTGCAGATTCCAAACATCTTGACAACAATGTCCTGTAGTAGCTTTTGTGTTGCAACAGTTTCCGGGTTCGGGATCTGTTGTTTGAGCTTCGCTTTGGAGCAACATTCTCAGCTGCGATTGGCTCTGGGCAAAGGTGTTTGACATGGGTGTGTCCTTCAGCGAGGATTTCATTGCGGGCTTGGGCGTGCTCGCCGCGCTTTGGGAGACGAATGGTTTGCAGGATCACGTCTTGCTTGCGTCAAAGAGAAATGAATGGTTTCCTGGCTTCCACGTCTCTATGTGTTGCCTTGCCACTGGGCCCGGTGCGCGGCAGCGAGCAGTGCCGGCGGTGCCGGCGGTGCCGGCGGTGCCGCGTGGGACGCTGTAGTCTGCTTCGCGGGAAATGAATAGTCTTCAAGATTTCACGTTTACCTTGAATCAGGAAATGAGTGGCCGCACGTGGCAGCTGGCGGAGATCGAATTTTCTTCTGGATGAGCGAGTGAGGACTCTGTGTTGGCCTGAGGCGCTGCCTTTTGGCTTTTGGCGTCATTTTTTGTTTACAGGCTTCCGCGCTTTGCTCTGGTTGGGGCTTTGGTGCTGTTGTTGCATTTTGAGCTCTTGAGAGTTCTTGTGAACGTTTCTTGTGTCTCACTTTGCTGTTGAGAATCGGGGATTGATTCTGAGGTTGACGAGTCCATTGACGAGGCTTGTTTGATGATGTTTGTACAGCTGTAGTTTTGACGTTTTCCCGGGCGGTGGTACTTGTTTGTCTCTGTCCGTATCGTGCAAAGCAGACCGTCTTCACAGGCAGTGGCTGCGAGGTGCAAAAAGCCGTAGCGAGAAAAAACAACTAGCATGTCCGATTCAAAAAGAGCGAAAAGATCGAATCTCATCAGAAAGACGCAAAAAGAGTAGAGGCGAGCACTTGAAGGATCCATCTCCATCAGAAGGAGTGCAATTGGTGTCATTGGCAGACTTGGCGGCGCTCAGCGTTTTAAGATATTTGCGATGGAACTCAGTCCAAGCACTTTTAATGTGAAAATTGCAGGGCGCATTACAATGGCAAAGAAAATGAGAGACGTTCTGGATCAGTGGAACACCAGACAAAAACACAACACAAACAAGCAAACCAGCGAAACAAAAAGACGGGGGCAGAAACCGAGGAACTTTTTGTGCAACAAAGAGAAGGGACACTGTGCTATAGAGTATGAGTAGCAGACAAGGTGCTCCACAGAAAATGCAAAACACGCACATGGGGTGAAACGTGCTGTCAAAAGAGATGGAGACTGCGTCAAACCGGGCCATGCTGCGCAAGAAAACTGAGAAAGCGAGCGAGCGTGCTTTTCCATTTGTTGCTTTTTTTTTTTGCTTTTGTGACTTGTGGTGAAGGGCAGTGCATTTTGCTAAGGCCGTACTGGGTAAAAGATTGCTTAGAACGAGATTACGAAGAACAGGTACTCTTTGGCGCTGAGTCGCTCGACGAAAAATGTCGTTGCGACGAGAAATGGCGTTGCGAAATTGCAATCATTGCCTTTATCTGGCTGCAACATGGGCGTGGAACACTGAAAACTCTTCATAAATTCAGTTTTTTTCCCACCTGACGTGACGCCTCTTTGATGGGCCGACACCTTGAGCTCCAAATGGGTGCTGGGACTGGGCTTTCGAGTCATTTTCGTGTTGCCCAAAAAAACCCGGCAGCTCAATGATGGAGAAACACGTTCAATGTCGTTAGTTCCTGCTTTTCAGTCATCGGTAACAGAGCGTAATATTAATTGGCGATTGTAAGTCTTCCATATTTCAGCGTGCTGAATAGCTCAGCGTGCAGAAGTATGCTGTAGTATTTAGCTCAGCGTGCTGAATATCGCAATTCTTAGAAGCGCGGAGTCTTGCAAGCTCCGCTTGCATAGATCCGCAAGATAAGCTTATGAAAGCACAGCTTGCAACAGCACAGCTTGGACTCAGAATATTTCTAGCCACTGAGAATTGCAGGTAATTGGGTCCAGAACACAGGTTGGCGATGCAGAATATTGGCCACAACAAGCATTTTATGTTGGCTTGGCACTTAAATCTTAATCTTGTGCAGAGAATTCTGCACAATTATCTGTTTAACACAGCTTGGAATATTGGGGTTTAGGCTAATTTGATATCTCCATAATTGAAGGTATTCGTGTTGTAAACACATTTCTGTTGCTTGTTTTGTGCTCGAGACTATTTTGTGTGCAGAGAGCTCTCGAGACTATTTTGTGTGCCGCACTGCTGACAAGCATTGTTGGCGTATCGTCTTGCTTTGTAAGGGCCTTCAGAAACTCATTCGGACTTCTGGCAGTTTGGTAGGCTCTCTTTGGTTGTGTTCGTCCCCTTTTTCTTTGGGCTTGTTTTGCCGTCGGCTTCCGGTTGAGTGCTGGTGTCGTGGCAGGTGTTCTTTTTGTCAGCGTTGTGGGGTCTCAGGCTCTTAGGCTGTCTTGGAATCAGCCTTCAATGTGGCGGGGTCTCCCGGCGCATCGAGTGGCCCGCGTGTGACGTGTTTTTTGGCGGTTTGCGGCTGCAAGGTCCCGACCCAGGCCGGTTGGCTCGAGCTGTTTGCGCTTCAGACAAGTCGTCCATGGACCCTGCGGGGTGCTCAGGCGCTGGTGTGCTTGTATGCTACACGGAGCATATGTCAGTGTCTCCAAAAGGAAAAAGCAGGCCGCCAACCTGGGTGGGTTCTCTTTGGTTTTCCAGCCAAGGGGTATGCTCGAAAAGACGTAGCCAGGCCACTTTGCCTTTTTGGATTGGGACCTGCCAAGGGCCGTGGTCAAAACACAGGGTCCTATGCGGGGCCCAACAAACGTTTTCTTCTTCTTTTTTTCCCCCGATGTCGGACGAACTCTGCTCCAAAAAGGTTTGGGCCCGATACGTTGCTCTGACTACGGCCTTATGGATCAAGGCCTTCACAAATGGTGGGTGGTGCGTGGGGTTTGCATTGAACCAATCTTGAGCATGGCCCCTGAACAATCTCAGCCCACAAGTTCTGGTTAACTATCTCCCTTGGAGCACAAACAAAATCAAATCCCTTGAAAATCCTTCTGTTTCCCTCACACGGTGTTCTAATGGTGTTCCTCCGCCGCTGGACGAACCTCCCACAGTATTAGGCCAATAAGGGCCCCGAGAATCTCTGTGTGTGTGTTTCTTTCCAGGATTTTCGGAAACCATTGCGAGTTCCTTGTGAAACCCAAAAGGAAACCCGAAAGAACCCATTTTCGAGGAAATGAACAGGAAGCTGTTTTCGAGGGAACTAGAGGGACACCTTTTCTTGAGTTCTGTGTTATTTTCAGAGAATCCAAGCCGCCGCGTTGTTTTTGGAGGTCCCCCCCCAAACAAAGCCCGGATCTGTCCGAATTCCCCGAGGTCCGCTTTGCCAAGGTCCGCGCCTTCGTACCGCGGCCCAGGAAACTTTCGATTCGTCAAGGCCGAAACCCAAATTCTACTTTCACCGTTGTGTGGGTCACGAAGGAAACAAAGGTCCCCTGTGTGGTTCAAGAGTGATGACACATCAGCTGTGCACCCCCCTGTTTTTGGAACCAGAAAACTCGAAAAAAATCCAAGCTTTACATCCCAGCTACAAGGATTCCGACTGGGGAGCCTTTTTTGATTTTGGGCCAGATGCTCCTTTGTCTTGAAGCCACGGAGTCTTGGAAGCCGGCGGCCCAAAGGTGGCGATTCGAAGGTTCGAGGGAACAAACATGACCGGCCTTGTCACTTTGCAGTCCAAAGAATTCTTTCAAATTTTGGTTGCGAAAGGTTTAAGGTTGCCTTTCTCCAATCAACCAAGCAAGTGAGTGAATCTGGCGATTCCAAACAAAGTGCACCAGGCCAGTTGTTCTATTGTTTGTCTTAGAGCTGGGGCGGTGCAACTCGAGTTTCAACTTCGAACATTCGACTCCTTCTTGAACCTTGCAGACAGGTCTGTCCCCAAAAGTGATCAGTGAAGATTCCTCTCAAAGGGATCGACATGGCGCCTCTGGAGCATCCTCTGACGGCTTGAATTCTGTCCCGAGCCGCAAGCCGAATCCGAGGTCGACAGCTCATGCCTGCCCCCAGGCACGGGGTCCGAGTTCTCAGAGTGTCCGCCCAAGTGCTGCCTCCCAGACTGGGACGCACACGGGCTTTGGGGGCCACTTGGGGTTTCCGGTCGCCCGGTAGAGCGTAGCGGCGTAGCACATCCGTGCCCTTGTGGCCCGGCCGAAGTGTTCAGGGCGAGGTGCTGATGAGCTGAAGTACGAGAAGCAGCGCGGGTGCCTGGCTGACCGCAGATTCGGAAACCACGGAGGGACCTGGACAGGGTTCCATTTCGTGGTGCCCATGACTCAAACCCTGGAGATCCTTTGATAGACAGCTTTGTATTGATCACTATAGTACCAGGTTTTGATTGCGGTCGTTGCTGGTCCCCCACCAAACCAGCCTTCCGAAAGGGCAGGAGCCCCTTTTGACTCAGCCGGATCTATGCCAGGGACGACCCAGTGGTTGCTCTTGCACCACCCCGTTTTGGAAGACACTTTTTCTTTTGGGAAGCGGATCCTGTGACTATGTTGCATTGTAGGATAAGCCGGGGCCCACCGTGAAAAGGCATGTCGAGTATGCAGGAAATGGTTGGCAACCCTGGGAATTAGCCCAGCTGACCCTGATACAAGCTTTTTCTGCGAGAGTTATTGTTGCAACAGGGGTTACTACTCACTTACCCTCAGCAGTGAATCGATTCACGATGCAACTGGTTTGCTCATTGATCCGCTTGCTGTGTCATGGTGTGAATTTTGGCGGGTTAGCTTCCTTGTCCCGTTTCCTTTCTTTTTCTTTTTTTTTCTTCTTGTTACACCTATCAGGAAAACACATACAAGCTATTCCTGCATGAAGTGATTTTCCGCCGTTTTGGTCAGGCAAGTGGGCGTGCCTTAAAGTAGGGAATCCGTTGAGAATGGATATAAAGGGGACACCAACATGGGAAACGTCCATTGTTCCAAATTTAAGACCTCTGCAGGTACTCTTTTTGAGGTTGGTTCAAAGATATCCCAACCGTGGCCCCTTCCTTTGAGAGCTGAGGACGCTCTCTGAAGCGAGGCGCAAGCGTGCCTTGCCCGGGCGCCCGGGTGCGCCGGCGGCCGGACCATCGATCGGAACAAGGTGGGCTCTCAGTGGAGGACGGTCCAATGCCAAGCCTTAGTGCACCCCCCGTCTTCCAAAGGGGTCGAATGAGAACCCAAGCATGTTGGTTGGCGGGCAGGCTACTTCTCAAGTGGCGGCAACTTCGCTTGTCTCCCATGTAGCGCTGTTATACGCCCCGTACTCCTTAAGTCGATGATAAGCTGTATCCTCTGCAAATGTTTACTGACTGTTAAACGTGCATGCTCCTTTTTGGGAAGATCGACCAGCGACATGTTGCCAAGCAAGTGCGGGTTGCGAGTCTTTTGCTGCCGTTTTTCCTTTCTTGTCCGAAGCGGGAGAAGATGTTTGGGCAAGCACTCAGAAAGGATAGGATATTCAATCTATCAGCAGAAGCCGTCCCCAAAGGTGATCAGTGTTGACATGAGCCTCGTCCTTTGTCCATGGGTCAAACAATAGACCCCAGATAGAACTGGGAATGCGTGAAAATAGAGGGCAACACTGCTTTTGGTTCCCCTTTGAACCTCAAAAGTGTACCCTCCCAAAACAACCAACTGCCCAACTGCCAAAGGAACACAATCCAGTTAGCCGCATGTAGATCCGTTGGGACAATATGGGTAGATCCCACGAGCCCATCGGCCCTGTTCGCTGCACTGAGATGAGATGCTTTTGGGATTGATGGGGAACTTGGTCATACTTGCCTGCAGGCTAACATGGAACTCCAAAAACCATCATTCAACAAGTGCCAATTCGAATATCCTTTGGGCGACCCCTCTTTGAAGGGTGTTTCTCGATACAGTTGGGTGACAGCACATGGCGCAGTTCCTTCAGCTTGGTTTCGTCATCTCCTTTACGACCCCCAATTACAGGGAATTGTGCCATTTGCTTTGATTCTAGGCTGGGCTCAAGTGCTGAGGATGAGCTTTACCGAGCGCATGGAGGCAGACGCGGGCTGCCAGCACGCCTACCACGAGGCGAGCTTGGGTTCGTTGTGAACCGACGAGCATGTCCCCAAGGAAACTGCGCCCCAAGTCTTGGCCAATTTGAAGGTGGGCTCCCCATTCCGTCGAATGGTTGGCGGGTTCGGCCTCACGTCGGCATGGAGCTCGCAGGCATGGATTCCAGTTCCTCTTATGTGATCTTAGAACACAAGAAGTCGCTCTTCAGGAATCGGCTTTGGGGCACTTTGTTCTTTGGGTTCCCATGTGAATCTGCGGGGAGTTATTTTTTTGGGGGTCTGCACACCTCTGGCTCACCAGGGTCGAACACTTTACCACCCACGGATTTGGACTTGGGAGGTATAGCCATAGGAAAGGGAAAAACCAGCTGGTCAACCCAGCGTCTGTCGCGGCTAGAGATGAAGCTGGATCTTTGTTTGGGACTTTTTCCAAAAGGAGAATCCTTTGTTTGTTTTGGGGGTGCCTGTACATCAGCATGACAGTTGTCTGATGCATTGCTGCAAGCAATGCGTAGATGGCGCTTCTTGTTTGCCATGTAAATAATAAACTTACACCCGTGTTCTTGTGGATTCGTCATTATTTGCAGGAGAAGGAGTGTAGAAAGGGTGACGATGGTGACAATCCACCGTCCTCGACCAAATTTTCAAAAACAACGCCGACCAGTACCACTTTGCACATCAGAACGTCTGGGAGTGCTTGTAAAGACTTGAAACCCATTTATGGTTCCACCTTAAACGGAAGCGACCATCAAGTCTGCCTGTTCGAGGGGCACCAGCCTTGAGACTTACCCATGTGAGAAAGGACAGCTCAGTGGAAAATGCTGACATCCAAGGTTTTCACCCGAGTTCGACTTAAAAACCGGGGAATAATATGTAGCCGAAACCTTCGAATTCATTCTCTGCTCTGTCACCACCAAAAATGGTAATGACACACCTTGTTGCTTTCAACTGTTTGCTTTATTGGCATCGGCAGAATGAAGGAATAAGGACAACCCCTCCGTGGCCTGTCTATGTTTGCCAATACAACCAACACATTGGTTTGGCCCGTTTAGTTGAGGATTCTGCTCTGTGGTCCTGTAGGAAGTGTAGTTTAAGCCTCTTTTTGCCATCTGGATTGAGCCGAGCCTCAATGCACGTTTCACATGAGCCAAATTGTCGAAGTCTTGACCAAGGAAAGCAGCTGAACTTCAGCTGAACTACTACCAATGGACACAAAAACAACAACCAAAAAAAACAATCCACTGTCGATGCACCTTCCCTTACTTTTCCAATGCTCGCTACGGTGGGTCGGCGAAGTATGCAGAAGGCAAGACTTTTCTTGCGATCAAGGTGGCGGGTTTTCAACTTGTTCTCTTACTTCAAGGCAGGGGATCAGCCGTGGGTTTGAAGTGCAACCGAAGCAGAGCTGGCAGCCAAGCTAGCAGAACCAACCGAAGAGTGGTCCGCTTCAGGTGATGGACATGCGAAAGAACGAGCCCCAGCGGAAGGCGCTCGATAAGAGCCTTGGAGTCCGAGGTGCGCGCGTTTGAAAGGGAAGCCAAGATATCGTTGGGAGGGATCGTGGACCGCTTGCCAAAGAGTCTTGAGGGAGTGTTGCCCAAATGGTAGCTGTACTCGTGCGGAATTTCCCATTGCCATCCTAGGAAGTGATCCCAGACGGGTGTGTCTTGCTTTGGGGGCAACCCCTTTTGATTGGTTCCAAAGAGAAGCCAAGGGACCCCGCCCTTTCTGGTTGGGGCTCCCCACTTCCTGAACACACCCAAACAGCGTGCGCAAATAGTGGGACCTGCCTTCTTCCGGCCTCGCTTTCTCCTTAGCCCGGCTTGGGCTTGCTGCGCGGCTTAGGATGGTGGAGCGGATGCGGCCGGTGCCGCCGCTGAAAGAGCCCAAGGCGGGAGCTCGCGGATCTGCCGGTTGCTTCGGTCCTTCGGGTGCTTTGGGCTGGCGCTGACCTCTTGGTGCTCAGGGAATCGGTCGGGTTTGACCCCGGCTGCTTTTAGCTTCGCGTTTCTTTTCTTTGGTTGGAAATATCAAGGGGTCTAGAAATGCACCGGAAGGGGATCCCAACAAATGGCTCAGTTGGGGGCCACTTTCTCAAAACTCAAATATGTTTAAGTTTAGGTTTCCCAAAAGACGGATGGGGGGGGATTGTTTGGAACTATGGAGGACTCACTCATTTTACAGTTAAACCGGGGTTTTTGTCGCTGACCGAAATGTGGCGGATGGATTGCCAGGTTATCCGCCACGATTGGCGGGCGCTCTTCAACAGCGAGGCGAGGTGGGGCCGAAGCAAGCCCAAGCAAACTCAAGCGAACCACCTGTTTATAGGTTTGTCTTCAGCTGGGGCTTCGTTCTTTGTTGGTTTGTCCTTTGAAACGAGGCCTAACACGAGTACCAAGTCTGAAAACAGCCGCGCCTTTAAATTGCCCACAGTTCGACAAAAGCAGTGGCTTCCGGGTCAGAGCCTCCGCTTTTTGGTAGATTTGAGGCGAACTATTTGAGGTCCACACACACTTTTTTCGCCGGTGTCGGGCCCACGCAGCCGGGGTGGTGTCCTAGGGGTCAATTCTGCAGTGTTTCCAGGGATGTGAGTCTTTCCAGAACACCGCCCCCAAGTACCTTCTTCTCCCACATGTCTTCTCCCCCAGGTATCCCGCACCCGATGATGGCCAAGCAAACCTTGAGTGCAGATGCGATGAATGGACTTTCTCGCCGAAATAGGACAACCCTTGGCTTCGATTTTACTCTGTTTTCTGCCGGGTACATGCTCCATGCACAAGCGTGGGGCATAGCGCCAGTCGCGGGGATCCATGTTCCACTTCGACCTCCCTAAATCGAGCAAGCGTAGCGAGGACGATGGACGGGTGTGTGCATTTTGGAGGGTATATATACTCTCTTTTCAGGTTGTCAACAGAAGGAAATCCACCATTCTTGCGGTGTTCTATTTTTACCCATATTCACGTTAAGCCACGGGCTTTGCGTGTGGAAGACTCCCTGCGCTTGACTCTGGGCCGGCGGAAGTCCAAGACTTCCGGCA